TTATTATAAATAATAGTTATAACAAACTAGTAAATATAAGTAATGTTAATGCTATCTATGCTATTAATTCTATCTAATATTGATACATGTATTATATATAATACATTGTATAAGTTTTTCCTATTATTTGACATTAACTTTATAATGTTTTTAATTTAAATATTTGCCATAATATATCAATTAATCAAATATTGATAATATTAAAACTTACATATAAAAATTTTATTTGTCTATGGATATAAAATAACATAAATATTAATTATTGGCAATTTTCTATTTGCTATTTAACCATCCATTTATATGGTTAAATTGACCACGCCTATTATATCGTGGTACAAAATATCGTCCAGTGATTTAATGCATTTAATTGACATGAGTGAGATGGCAGCATAAGCTATGCTATGGCTAAAAGTCACATTAATAGTATACATCACAAAAAAGGTGCCAACTTTTAACACAGTATTCTATGCTATGGTTTAATGCTATTTGTGAAGTGTATGAGTGGAGTCTATGTGTCGCTTATGACATGCGCTGTATTGTGTGTTTTGCTGTTTATATTAAATGCCGAGATGTCATTCAATAATTATGACGTTTTTGACCACAAAGTATTGCATTTATTGTTTTGATTACAATTTTAATCATAAAAGTAAACATTGGAAACAAAATATTTATCAATAGACATTCAGATTATAGATGCCTGGCCGACGTTCACGCGTCCCAATTGGTAACAGACATAGCATGTGTGGATCCGATCCGAGTCAGAGACGGCCATATTCTGCTCCACAATTGTCTGCATCTGTTTGATGGCCATTGAATGGTAGGCCTCGTATACGAGACACTGTACAGGTCTATGGCCGGACGTGTCATCAGATTTTGTATGTCTGGTGACACCCATGAATAGTGAAACGGCTCTACACGAGTGGCCGTTCACCGCATCGATCGCTTCGGTAACGACCAGCATTCTTCACGCAGTTTTACCACATATTTATAGCCATATATTTTGGTTAATTATGTATTCATCTAATCTAAAGATTAATTAATTAAATATTAATAATAAATTGGGCACATAGTTCCTATTTAAATAGGAACTATGTGCCAAAACTATTACTTCTCTTCCTCGAGTCGTCTTAAATTCAATAAAAGGTTTTTATTATCCAAAATAAGTTTTATTTCTTATGAAAAATATTGGATTAATCTATAATTAAATACAGAAATACATTGAAAACGAATTCGACGGCTAATCATAGCCTCAAATAAAAAGTTTTTTTTATTTATTAAAATTTAAACCAAAAACTGATTTTTAATAAAATGCAATCAATTTTTTATACTTATTTAAAATGTTACAAAAAATAATATCTGTATTAAATAGTTTTCATAACAATTTTTAATTATTATTAAATGACATGTTATTTAATAGATTTATAATTTTGGCAAAAAACATAGATTTAATTAATTTAATCAGTAATTTTTGTTTAAAATTAATGCAATTGAATATGAAATGTGATATATTAAGTTTAAATTCAGTTATTTTGCATTACATATTTTGTGAACAAATTAATAGTTGAATAAATATTAAAAATTAATATTGAGTTAAATATAAGAAATACAATACTCAATAATTTTATTCCTTCTCATTATAATCTTCTTGTTTACATTTAGGACAGTAGTAAACAACATGTGTTTTGCATACAAGCTTTTCGCAGCCTTCACATCGAATTGATGCCCTTTTATTGTCACTTCGCGGACAAAAATCACACCGTGTATTATTTTTGTGAAGTTTGACTGGTTGCTGAGAAACTGAAGGCATTTCGATTTCATCACTTGAAACATTGAATACATTTTCAATCAATTTGCGCAAATCGTGTGATAATGTACTTTGGTTTAGTCGTTGTGTTGCCAATGGCTTAACGAAATCAAACCCCAATTGTTTAATGAATTCTCGTCTCGTTTTTGATTTCTTATCGTTTGGATAATAAAACTTGTATATAATGTAACAATTGATTGCCGCAATATCTATAATATCGTAAAACAAAGCCATAGGCCATCTTCGAGTAGCTCTGGCACAAGTATACGACACACAGAGATGATCCAAATTGTCAACACCTCCTTTGGTTTGGTTGTAAAAGTTTATTATTTCTGGTTTCCCGTTCTCTTCAATATTGACAGTTTTGTGAAAACTACTCAACATTATTACAAGTTTCTTAGACTTTCGCTTCTTTGGTATATAAGACATCAGAAGTTTGTCGCCACATATTTTAGATAAATATGTATTCATCTGTATTAGATATAAAGATTAATTAATTAAAAATTAATGATAAAATTAGGTTCATATTTCTTATTTAAATAAGAACTATGTGCCAAAGCTATTACTTCTCGTCCTCGAGTTGTCTTCATTTCAAATGGTATTTCTTTTTTGTTTTTTTTTGTAGTCCCGACATATGTCAATCCATTGATCCACAATTCATCCACAAGTGGGAAACTAGTGAACCAATTATCTGCCGTAATATTACGGCCGGTGTGTTTGAGGTCATGAATTAATCTCAAAACCACATTCATTGATTGGTTGGCATTTTTGTCGGCATTTGGCTGACGGCCTAAATATACCTCCGCTGACCACATATAACTATTGAGAGCATCGCAAACCATAAACAATTTGATGCCATATTTGGCCGGTTTGTTGGGCATATATTGCCTGAACCGACACTTCCCACGAAACGCTCTCAACTGCTCATCTATTGTAATATTTTCTGATAAAACATAATTTGATTTACAATTGTTGTTAAATTTTGTAAATATGTGTCTTATTGGAGCCAATTTGTCGTTTGGGTCTCTTGTTAATCGGTTATCAAATCTAACACATATACATAAAAACCTAAATCTGCATAATGGCATTACAGCCCGGAATATATTCCGTCCACTACCAGATGTTGACCACAACTCAATTGCGTTTTCATTTCCCGATTTATACACACCGGCCAACAATAATAACCCAATAAAAGCTTGCATTTCCTCGGCGTTTGTTTCATAAATGAATGTCTGTGGTGTGTTATATCGTTGTCTTCGTATAAATATCTCATTGTTGGTGTGATTTACAATTGTTTGTATCATTTCAATTGTAATGAAACTATTAAACAACGCATAATTATTATTGGCGCGCTCTTTGGTTATGTTTGGTCCACATATTTGTCTCACAATATTCTGTGGATTGGTTTTAGTGGCTCTGATATTAGATGCTTGAGATGACGTGTTATGAGATGTCTGACAATCATTGTCACTAATGTCACTATCATTGCATTCCTCTTCAGCGCTTTGCTCAGTGTCTGACGAATGCGACGACTCTTGTATTTCATCGATCTCTTCATCGCTCGTATTGTCATCAGCGCTGTCGACATTCAGCATGTCTTCGAGTTGTTGTCGACTTAAGACAGTTTTGCGGCTCATTTTTAATCACAATTAAAAGGACACTGTTATTAATTTGTTGTTTACATGTGCTTTACTTTAGTTGTTTGAAGTGTATATTTAAATGTAAATTACGTTTAGCCATAACTCCATATTCCTATTTAAATAGAAATATGGGGTCAAAAATAAATACAACATAATTCATGTCATAAGAAACACATACACTTCACTCATTTACTCCACTCATACACTCCACTCATAGCACTAAACATACTGCTGTAAAACTGTGCATTTTTTGTCATGTATACTATTGGTGTGAGTCTCGATGCTCGCGCTATCTATGCATTGAATCTCGCAACAGTTGAAATGAGTTGTTCACAAGTCCATACAGGGAAGCCGTCAGATAGTGTGAGAAATGGGTAGTCGATATGTGGCGGCGCTAGTGTTTTTGTTATGGTTTTGAAAATGTACTGAAATGTTAAGGGTTTAAAAAGTTACAAGTTTGATATCGTGGCGCATTTAGAAAAGTGACCTCTCTTTGAAAATTAATAGCTCGGACACCAGATATGCAAATAAAGTTTTGATTAATCTAAAAGGGATTCAAATGTTTGGTTGAGGAATAGCTGAAATTTTTTAACACTGACTTTAATACCTGATTTTAGCCAACAGTTTTAAATGCCCTGGCGCAGTAAGGTGCCATGGGTACCATTTAAAAGTTAATGAATTTGTTTGATCAGAATGTTTACTTATACTTAGCATAGGTTTAAAATATGTTTTCATTTAAAGTAAAATTTGGTTATAATTAAAGTATTTATAGTCAAAATTATAATGAAATAGATTTTTAAAAAATTGAAAATGATTAATTTACACAATCTTAATTATTGCAGTTTGACGATCCTATAAACTACATTATTTAATGCTGAATTCTGGTTTAAAATACTATCATAAATTTAATGACGAAAATTGAATTATGAAGATAATATAATTCTAAATTAAAACAACTATAAATTAATTTTTGATAAATTAATTAATTTTAATTTATTAAAATTATTTATTATATTGAGTTATACTAATAACTTTTTTGATTTATATTATTTTATGTAGAGCTTTATACCGGAACTCAGATATTGTATTAATGGACGACCCGTTGAGTGCTGTCGACACTAGTGTTGCCGAACATATATTTGATAAGTAATGCAATGATTGTTATAATTATGATTACCGTATTAGATTTGTGTTGCATTTTATACTAAAATCTGTGCCGAACTTTGGAGCGCACATCCTGTCGCACATCATGATATGCCTCCGTCCGTCACAAATTTCAGCTTAAATTAACATTTTTGTTATAATTTTTATTTATGTTATGTTTTTGTCCTTTTCATTATCTGTATGTTTTTCCTTATTGTGTGGTTTTGTCCGGTTTTTATTTATATGTATTGAAATATATGTATATTTTTGTGATATTTTTTTGTCAATTTTGTGTTTTTGTATAAGTTTTATCTATTTTTGTAACTGTCATTAAATGCCATTAAATGTTGGTCTTATTGTCACTTTAAGTTGATGTGTACTTTTATATGTGTTTATTCTTCGTTTTTGTTTAACATATGCTAAGTTAAAGTATTGTTAAAACTGCTGTATTAAGCCGTCTTTCTCGTCTACTTGTGTGTTATGAAATTACTTAAGATGTGATTTTTTAGCCATATTTAGTAAATGTTTGAACATATGTTTCCCAGTCTTGCGGCACATGTCATACAACTGTCCCTTTCTTTGCAATAAAACAAACGGTTTGTCAAACTCTATGATTTCTCCCGCGTCTAACACCTAATTGCAGTAAACCAACCATCAATTTGTTATAATAATTTATTATAATTTTTATGTTTAAAAATTTAATAAAATACAGACCAATACGCGGTCGCAATCAATAATAGTGTTGAGTCTGTGAGCGATTGTAAGGACAGTACAGTCATTGAATTTGCGACGAATTGTGGTCTGAATTAAGGCATCGGTTTGATGGTCAACATTAGCGGTCGCCTCGTCCAGCACTAGTACCTTATTGTGTCGCAGTATAGCCCGCGCCAGACATACCAACTGCTTCTGACCTACACTCAGATTAGCGCCCCCTTCGGCCAACTGGCCGTCCAACTGGCCCGGGAGGTCCCCCACCGCTTCCTTCAGCTGCACCTCTTCTAAGGCACTCCATATCCTTTGGTCGCTGTATTCGCCGAAAGGATCTAAATTTCTTCTGACGGATCCCGCGAAGAGCACCGGATCCTGAGGTATGATTGAAATCTTTGACCGCAATTCATGCAAACCTATCGATCTAACAGACAAGCCGTCCATTACTATCTCCCCCTTTGGCTCAACCATACGAAACAGCGCTGATATGATGGACGACTTGCCGGCGCCCGTCCGCCCGACGATCCCTATCTTCTCTCCACTCTTTATAACACAATTCAAGTTTTTGAGCACCGGTTTGTCTGACCCCTCGTAACACAAACTCATATCTTTGAATTCTATCTCTCCCTTCTGTGGCCAATCGGGAGGGGGTTTATGGCTATCATGTGCTGTGAGGGCCGCCTCTTGTGGTAGTTTTGAGTACTCAATGATGCGCTCGACTGAAGTCATCTGACTCTCCATCTCTGCCGACTGCCGGACACCCCATTGAGTCAATCGCGGCAACATTAAGGCTATTTATTTGTAATATTAATATTACTAACTAATTATATGGGGTTTAATTTATATTAAAATATCTTTAGCTGTATTATTGATATTTTAACCACAATTCAGCATTGAATAATGCATAATCCTCTGACTATAACAATGCTATCGATCTTAACAAAAAGACAATGTTCAAAAGTGGGATAGCTTGCACCTAAGAGATATTTTATATACTGAAATCACTTGATCTACAGAGACTAGTGGTATATTTCATATGGTAAAGTGATCTCGGGTTTGGCCGCAGTGACCACTTTTATCGGAAAAATTCTGAAAATCAAATCTTTTATTTTATAAATAATCATATCATATTATTAAAGACTTTTAAAATGCATAACTACATATTTTTAGGGGTAATATATAGCGAAGGTTTGATTAAAAATCTATCCGAATCATATACTAAGGATCATTTTGGCAAAAGTTATTTTTACATAATTAAATATAAATCAATAAGACACAAATTGGGACAATTGGATAGATATAGCGATGGGTTCTCGTTATTGCAGTAATATTTAGTGATCTTTGGACCAAATGTGGTGAACAAGTATTCAAGAAATTCATTGTCTAAATGGTTATCAATAAAGACTTCTAAAATGCATAATTACATATTTTTAAGGGTAAGATATAGCTAAGGTTTGATTAAAAATCTATCCGAATCATATACTGAGGATCATTTTGGCAAAAGTTATTTTTACATAAATAAATATAAATCAATATTTGAGGAGGTAGTCACATATTTTAAAATATTGTCATAAAATGCGGCAAATAATGATAAATTTCATATTTTTGTTAAAAAATCTATACCAAAATATTAATTAAAGAAACAAAATGCATTATTAGCAGAAATATATGTGAAAATAAGTTATATTTGATATAATTATTAGTATTATTGAATCCCATTATGACGGCTACAATAAAACGGATTTCTATCCCATATAAACACACTGTAATTTCAGAATATTTAAAATATTTATAAAAATAATTTAAAATTATATTTAAATGAAATATCTAAACTTTAATAATGTTTATAAATACGTAAAACAATTACATACACGGATTTCATGTTAATAATACTTATATGGCAATAAATATATGAGAAATCGTTAGTAAATATAATTAAATATTTCGGACATTTTAAGTCAATATTATATTGAATATTAGGCATGTTATTCTTAAATATAAGTTCAGTCTTTAAATAATACTTATATGGCAATAAATATATGAGAAATCGTTAGTAAATATAATTAAATATTTCGGACATTTTAAGTCAATATTATATTGAATATTAGGCATGTTATTCTTAAATATAAGTTCAGTCTTTAGTTATCAATGAACACTTCATCGAAATCAATAGCAATACTCTTCAGAAATGGCCAACTGTTCCGCAAGTGATCGATGGCTTCAAACAATTGTCTAAAATATGGTAATTCAATGGTATTCTTATCGATATAAAGGTTGTAATTAAATATTTGAATCTTTGGGCACTTCTTCTGCAGAAATATAATCAATTTGTGACAAAACTCTTCGTCCGACAGATCATTGTTTTGTTCACTTAATCGTAAGATTACTTTATTAGCGATATTTAACTCATTAATTGTGTCAAAAATCAATCGCTGAAACTGTTTGGACACACATTCGTGAAGACATCTCTTCTGAATTGTATTGTTTCGGTCGTCGATTGAATGGTAAGACAATATAAGTCGAACCAAATCATCACCGAATCGATCCAAAGAGTCTTTTAAATACATTTTCGACTATATTTTATAAAAATATAAATAAATAAATGTTTTAATCATATAATTAATTGCTTTACCTCTCCGTTAACTTCATTGTCTCTCTTCGAGTCCTTTTGGCCAAAACTTTTAATCCAATCCATCGATCAATTCATCACTTAATGTCTAAACATTTGTAATTTACCTTAAATTAAATTAATTTAGACTTTAATTATAACCAAATTATGGCTACAAATAAGTGATTGTATTTCACTTTTGACACAATTTTCCAAACTTCATACAAATGTGTTTTGAATACAACTTTACAGTAAGTCTACAAAAAGTTTTACTTTTTTCACAAAAGTTTTTAAAGTTTTATCTCAAGTATTGAAATGAAGAATAAAATAGATATCAAAACAATGAATTAAATCAAGTATTTAATGAAATCCAATATTTAAATATTTTTATTAATAAATATATGAATCGATTTTTAAGGAAATAAATGTTCAATTAAAATACTGAAATAAAACTCAATTTCTGATGTTTCTAAGTCGAGCACACAATTGATACCATTCGGGAACCAATTGAAAACCACTTTCAATATGAAGTCCATTGCCATCGAAATCGATTGCAAAGTAATCCCAATCCCTAATACTTATTGTGTTTAGTTTCGGACACTTTCTTATCAATCGCTTTAAATCGGATTTTTTAAATTTAAATATTCGTCCGATTGAAATGTAGAGCACTTCCAGTAATGATAGTCTTGAGATACACACCAACCATTGGTTATCAATAATAAGCTCATCCATACTATACATCTTAAGTGTTTGTAGTTTGTGTTGTGTCGACAAAATCGGTCTAATTATTTCACTGTCCCATAAATCGGTCCACAAGTGTGTCAATTGTGGCCAACCATTGAATGGCTGTAATTGAGTCCAATCGGTGATCACTTCATTTTCTTCGTCAAATATATATAGCCTTAGATTCAAACGTTTCAAAGTATGCATATATTTCATGGCATTCAGTATTTCTACATATAATGACGTGTCGTTTGAGTTGACATGAATGTCAAAACTTTTTAATTTCAAGCATTTTATGCCAATTGTCTTCAGACTAGAGTATAGTGAATACTGAAGCGGTTCATCACTTCTGAAATTCAGTGACATTTCGATGAGATCTTGAAATTCGGATAATTGTTTCATGAATTGAGTGACCATTGATTGCGATTGAATCGATGGGTCGATGTTTAGTACAATAAGACATTGAAGACGTGTCTTATAGTAAGCGATAAACACTTTGAATGAATTCATATTAAAGTCGTTTTCATTATAATAAAAAGTAAACTTTTTTAAGCGATTAAATGCTAATAAATGATTGTTTTCTTCGGTGGTAAACATATATTGAAAGTTTTTAATCCTAAGATGTGACAAATTGGGACAATTGGACAGATATAGCGATGAGTTCTCGTCATCGCACGAATATTTAGTGATCATTGGACCAAATGTGTGGACCAAGTATTCAAAGAATTGATTGTCTGATTGAAAATTACTAACGGATCCATTGAATCCAATTGCAATACTCTTCAGATATGGCCAACTGTTCCGTAAGTGATCTAAAGCTTCAAACACTGGTCTCATAAATAGTATCTGATATCGAGAGTAACTTCTCAAGAATGTAAATCTCTGAACATTTGGGTACTTCTTCTGCAAATATGCAATTGATTTGTTGTAAAACTCTTTGTCAGTCAAATCAGTGTTATTGTCACACATTCTGAAAATTATATTCCGATTGATAGAGATATCAGTGATTGTGTCAAATATCACTCTCTGGAACTGTTTGGACACACATTCGTGAAGACACCTCTTCTTAAACGCGTCGTCTCTATAGTCTAATGAATGGTAAGACAATAACAGTCGAACCAAATCATCACCGAATCTATCGAAAGAGTCTTTCGGATAGTTTTCAGACTATTTAACGCAAAATACAATTAATAACTGTTTTAATCATACATTCAATTAATTACTGTTTTGTTATTCTTCCGGTGCTTTTGACCTAAACTCGAAACTCTATTCAGTAATCGATTCATCACTTAATATTCAACAAATCCAATGATTACTTAAATTGGTTTAAATTTAAAATAAATTCAAATAATATAAGAATTATTATAACGCGAAATATAATGCAATTATAAAAACTAGAAAAATAAGTTACAAATAAATTAAATGTTTTAAAACTTTAATTCAAGTAATTTAATACACAAAACAATTACATGTATAGAGAACTACTGTATGTGTCATAACTGACAGTCAATAGAATCGGCATAAAAATTACTAGAATTTTATAATTATTATTATTTTAATCACAAATACAATTATTTTAATGAATTACAATTAGTTTTTATTTTTGTTAATGAAATGAAATGTATTTTTAGTTAATACCAAAATTAAGATACAATTAGTAATTGTTAACTACTTTTAACAGCAATTCTCAAAACTGAAAAACAAATATCTATTAAAATGCAATTTAATACAAGTCTACGAAAAAAGTGTTACTTTTGCTCAAAAGTTGTCAAAGTTTTATATCAATAACATTGAAATGAAGAGTAAAAGAGAAACAAAACAACCAATGAATGAATTGATTGGTCGAACGAATACACCATTAAATTTGAAATTAAAAGTTGTTTTAATGAAAAGCTAATGAAGAGGTTATTCGGGAACAAATACGCAAACGTGGTTACCATCAAACTCTTTGCCATCAACTCTTGAGCCGGTGATCAAAAGTGATCTCAGTTTCGCACATCGTTTCAAAACTCTATTCAATTCAGATTTTTTGCATTGAAATCCGTTTTGAGTGATAGCCAACGATTCCAGTGATAATAGTCTTGAAATGCAAGTCAAGTATTGGCCGTCAATCTTAGTGCCCATATTAGTGATGATCAGTGTCTTTACTCTCTTCTGTTTGGACACAATCTGTTCCATCAATTCCAGTGGAAAGTCCCACAAACCCAACGATATGTGTGTCAATTGTGGCCAACCATTCATTGGCTGTAATTGAGTCCAATCTGTGATCACTTCTTGTGTGCCGTTCCGGATATTGAGGTATAAATGCAGACGTTTTAATCGTGGCATAAATTGTATGGTATTTATGATCTCGACATTCAAAGCCGTGTCGTTTGGAGAGATACATAACGACAACTTTTTAAGTTTTGTACACTTTATGCCAATTGACTTGAGATAACTATACAGTGAATACTCGAGTGGTTTCACCGCAAACATTACCTCCAATTCTTTGAGTTCTTGAAATTGAGTCAATTGTCTCATGAATTGAGTGACCATTGGTTGCGATTCAATCGACAGATCAATTTGATAGACACTTAGACATCGAAGTCGTGTCTTATAGTAATCAACGAAAACTTGAAATCTATGGCCATTAAAGTACTTGTCTTTCCAACAAAAACTATACTCTATTAAGCGATTCAATGCCAACAATTGATTGTCTTCTTCGGTGGTAAACATGTATCGCAAGCTTGGAGTCCATAATTGGGACAAATTGGGACAACCGGTCAGATATGGCAATAGGTTTTGTTTATCGCAATAATATTTGGTAATCATTGGACCAAATGTTGACAACAAATACTCCACTAATTGTTTGTTTAATTTACTATCACTGATCTGTCCGTGAAATGAAAGGCCAATACTCTTGAGATCCGGCCAACGGTTCCGCGAGTGATCGATGGCCTCAAACAGTGGTCTGTCGTATATATTGTGATCGAAACGCACTCTTTGAATGTTTGGGCACTTCTTCTGCAGAAATGCAATCAATTTTCGACACAATTCTTCGTCCGACAGCTGATCCGTGTATTTGTCTCCCATTTTGTCGATTACTTTGTGGTCGATATGGATATCAGTGATTGTGTCGAAGATTACTCTCTGGAACTGCTTAGAGACACATTCGTGAAGACATCTCTTCCCAAACGTATGCTTTTGGTAATCGATTGAATGGTAAGACAGTATAAGTCTGACCAAATCATCACCGAATCTATCCAAAGAGTCTTTTGCATACATTTTGGACACAATTACTGAAAACAAACAAAAAATTTGAACACAAAATGTTTGCCAAACATTTGCCTCTCTATTCATAGGCATTGAAACAGTCGTACAGTTTATACAAACCATTTGTAGACAATTCGTATTGAGTTTGACTTAATATCTGAATTGCATTTCAATATCAAATGATGTGATCATTAATTTTGAATATCATTATAAAAATTGATTTAAATATTTAATGAAATTATTTAAAACACATTAATTGAAACATAACTACAAATGAAATCAAATTATTTTATTAAAAGTATTTTATGAAACATTAATTGAATAGACATTTAATTGTATTAACAAAACAAACAAAAACTTACTTAAAATTCGGGACAAAAACCAACACTTGTTAATAGAGAAGTGGTTCCAGAGGTTCATGTATTCAGTGATTTGAATCATATTTGTAAATATTTATTGAATATATAAACTATGTGTAATATTTAAACTAATTGTGATGAATCAATCTTGCTAAAATTACTTTTATTTAAATACATAAATACATTGTCTTAAAGAATAGGATACAAGAATGGGAACCAATGGTTTTGATTCAAAACAATTTCAACAATAATAAGTAATTTGAGACACAAATATATAGGAATTGAAAAAATTCATATGAAGTTAAGGGAAACATATCATAACAATAGAAAGCAATCTTTGTTTCCGACGACAATCTCTCGATAAATGCCATCACTTTTAACCGATCGGTCGGTGAGAGGACTGGTCTTCGGCTTAGATATGATAATAACAGTGGATATGGTTTGTGGGCTGCTCTTGGGATCCATGCATACAATTTGAATGATAACAATATAATATTCACATTAATTAATATTACAAAAAATATTAGAAAACGATATAAAATTGTAGTATTTTTATGATGTAATGAATAAATAGACATTTCTGTACCAATCGATGTCATATAATAGACGAGAAAAAATACAATACTTATGGTATGATTCAAACGCTTAACCCATCGCTCATAATAATGGTGTTCATCGATGGCTCGCAATAATCGTTGTCTTGTATTAAACCTAACACTCAATGCAATTGTTTCGTGAATTTCGAGAAACTTATGTTTTAGATAAGAGATTGTAATGAAGACAACAATACAAGCAATCCATGGGATGGCAAAGCACTCGATAGAGATAATCACAAAACCAAAGAAAGCAATGATAAAATATATAGCCCTTAAAAATGTAAAGTTGTAAATGATTTGATAAACCAATATAACATAAACTACTGCACAGCCTATTGTCGTTATAAATACACAATTTATGGTTAATACCCGTCGGATAAGACTTGCCCTCAAACTGATGATCGCTTCCCTCCGACCACTCAATGGATATTTGAGTCGTTTGTATAGCAATGAGTGCATGAATTTGAATACATGTAAAACACCGCTTCTCTCATGATATACAATAAGTGTCTCAATACATATATTACAAAAAGTGATTACAATAAATTGAGTCCCGATCAGCACTTTATCACCAAAATAACTCATCATATCACCAAGCAAGTATTTAACAATCGGGTGATCCACATATGTCATGAATAACAGAGAAAACAAAAAACCGATCATGCTCAATTTGACAATTATAAACCATATAAGTCTACGCCGAGTGTAATAACCGGTAATGAAATCATCCAAAGTTGTCGATAGAGTAAAGCAAAAGTATTTCATATATTTGTCAACTTTTTTAATCTCTTCACTCAAAGACCTATTATTTTCCATATAAAAGTTGACAATAGCTTTGGTTTTGATTTTCAATGCAAACACATTACCATTTATTGAATTCATTTTATATTTAAATTTGTTTTTAAGTTCAATTCAAACAACATTCAAATAGCACTGAATGCAGATCTAAATATATTTATATCACATAAACATATTTGATATAATTTTTTAGTGATGTGTAAAATATTTTAAAATATTCATAATGTTTTTCATTCACGCAATAATATAATTAATTACTTATTGATGTTATAGAAATGTAATATATCATTTGATGGTATATTCATACATTATATTTTCATTATAAGTTATAATTTCTATCTTCATTTACTGAATTATTGTAATCGATGAAAACCATTACGAAAATAACTCACAGAAATAACCAAACATTAGAAAATAAATCAATTCCAGTATATGTTGTAATTCAAAGTCATTTGAAATTGTTTAGCAAATTAATGTTAAGCGATATATTTGATTCAAATTATGTGATAATTAATTTTTAATATAAAATTCTAAAATTTTAGGCAAAATTCACATTCATTTAAAACACTTCTATTAAAACATAACTACAAATGAAATGAAATTATTTTATAAGAAATTAATTGAAATCATATTTTATAATAACAAAACAAAACAACCATAAAATCACACAAAAAACATTAGACAAAATCACACAACCCTTGTCTTAATATAAAAGTTCCAGCGGTTCCAGTAGTGACTATTCAGACACAGTCCACATATATGGCTATTAATGGATCATATTATGTGCCCTGAGCTTCAGGTTCTGGGGTTAAGACCACTCAATTGGTGGACAAATTGTCTTAAAGCAGAGCACACGAAGAGTGAGACCCGGGAATCATTGTGTGATTAAAGTGTTTGCCATCAAAACGTGTGCCGCAAATCACAAATAATCGCATTTTTGGACAATTCCTCGTAATTGGCATTAAATCTGATTCATTAAAACCAAACTCTCGTCTATTGAATGAACAGATGGACAGCGATTGCAGCGAAGATAGTCTCGAGATATAGAGTAACCATTGGCTGTCAAACTTACCGTTATATTCACTGATAACCAGTGTCTGTAGTTTATATTGTTTGGACACAATCTGTACAATCAATTCTTGCGGAAAGTCCCACAACTCTATGGATAAGTGTGTCAATTGTGGCCAACGATTCAATGGTCGGAATTGAGTCCAATCGGTGATGACTTCTTCGGCACCGCTAAACAGTCTGAGCGCTAATTCTAGACGTTTTAATCGAGGCATTAATTGAATGGCAATTATTATCTCCACATTCAATACCACGTCCTCTGAAGTGAGAGATATTTTTAACTTTTTTAATTTCAAACACTTTATGCCAATTGTCTTAAGACTATTGTATAGTGAATACTGAAGAACTTTATCGGCAGCGAAATGAATGTCCAATTCTTTGAGTTCTTGGAATTCAGTTAATTGTAATATGAATTGAGTGACCATTGATTGCGATTCAATCGTTGGATCAATACATTGGACACCAAGACATCGAAGTCGTGTCTTATAATAATTGATAAATACTTGAAATCGTTTGGCATTAAAGCCATTGTCTCTCCAATCAAAGCGAAACTCTTTCAAGTGATTAAAAGTTAGTAATTGATTGTCTTCTTCGGTAGTAAACATGGATTCAAACCCAAGAGTAGATAACTGACACAAATTGGGACAATAAGACAGATAGTGGTATAGAATCTCGACATTAATGCCAATATCGGTGACCATTGGACCAAACGTGGTAAACAAATACAGAAGAACTCGATGGTCTATCGAGTGTTCATTAAACGGCAAACTCCTGTTCCAGACATCGAGACCAAAGTCAACACTCTTGAGGTGCGGCCAACTGTTCCGCATCTCATGGATGGCCGCAAACACTGGTCTCACATACGAGCACTCCATCTGATGGTAACGATTAACGTATGAAACTCTTTGAATGTTTGGACACTTCCTCTGCAGAAATGCCACCAATTTATGACACAATCCTTCGTCCGACTCCTCAACACTGTATTTGTATTTGTATCTCAATTCCTGGATTAAGTCTTGACTGATATCGATATCAACGATTGCGCTGAAGATCACTCTCTGGAACTGTTTGGACACACATTCGTGAAGACATCTCCTCTCAATTGTGGTGTATTTGGCGTCAAATGAATGGTAAGATAATAAAAGTCGGACCAAATCATCACCGAATCGATCCAAAGAGTTTTTGGCAAACATTTTGTGACTTTAATTAAACGGTAAATACAATCAAATAATAATTGTTTTAATAGTTATATTGTTTTTATTTATTAGAACTTTTTGTTTCACAACAATTGCATACAAACTGTACTCCAGATTATGTAATAAACGTATGGTTTCTATGGTTTTATTGTAGAAGATTTCGTTATAAAAGTTGGCAAAACTTTTGAATTAGTTTTTAATTCACAAATAATCTGATAATTAATTAATTATTTAATGTAATTTTGCTTCACTAATAATAATTGAAATGTAACTAATGCTACGATCAATAAATCATTACTTATAATTCAAATAATATTACAATTAAGCATATTTAATATTTCAATCTGGGTTAAAGTTAAGGCTAATTAAATTTTATGAACATTTATCAAAAGTGAATATAATCTCCAAATACAGTAGTTTAATACTTTTTGTACATTAATTGTTAGTTGTTTTCCACAAATTTATATTATTGTAATCAATAGTTGAGTAAATTTTCAGCACATTTTCAATACTCGATGTCATTATTAAAGCCAAGTATTATAACTAAACTTTGAGGTAATTTAACGCATATCTAAGGCGTTAACAATCAAATCACTACTCATTATGTGTTTGCCATTCAAACCAATTGTGTGTTAATCACTGCCACCACTCATAACGGGTTATGTTTTGTGTTAATAATTAGTTTTAAATAAAATCCTTGTTTTTCTCATTACACTCTCTTCTCAACTATCACTTCAATTGATCCAAAGATGTCACAAGAGTTGATTCCGTCCGAGACACCAATCGAGACCACAGATGACGGCAATAGACAACAGGTATTTCATAAACAGTTTTGTGTGAATTGAGTTTTAATTGTGTTTTTGTCTCACATTTTAGCCACAGATTTACGCGAAGGACTCAATGGACAGATACGGCGACGACTTGTTTAAAATTTTGGTGTCGTATCTCTCACTCGAGGATCGGTTTCGATTGGAATATGTGTCCAAACAGTTCCGGAGGACAGTCTTCGGCAGTGTTGTGGACATCACTCTTACCGACAGATTTATTCAGAGATTACTGAATAAGGAGACAATTGATACCCAATTGTTGGCCACAATAGCCATAAAGTGCACAAACATTGAGATCATTGACTGTCAAAGAATAAGCGCTGAATACGAGAAACACATTCCCGAAGTGTTGAACATATTTCGAGACAATTGCCAGCATTTGCGGGAAATTTACTGCAATCTATGCGACGGCCAATGGATGCCTTCGCTTTGGCCACTCGTCACACGAATCAACTATCGCTCCGAAGACAGTCAAGCGCTCACTCATTGCCACCGATTGTCACACTTATTGATCAATTCATTTAAAATCATCTTTGACTCCATTGATGACCAACTGTTGGCCAAAAATTTGACTAAATTTGGATTATGTTATCTGACGGACGACGACAACCACCGCTGGCCGGAATTCTTAGCTGATAACCAGTGCCTCCAGAGTCTGATCGTTAGTTCTTGCCGTTTGACTGTCGCCGAAAATTTGCGCCAAATGTGCGAACAATTGTCACAATTAACACAATTACGTGAATTGGGTATCGGTTTAGTGGACGGCCAGAACTCAGCGGTGATTACCGACTCTTTGCGTACAATTGGCGAAAAGTGCAAACAATTGAAACGATTGTCACTCCTATTTGGCACATACTCTGTGGCCGAACCGGTGCTCACCATATCATTGGATTCGTTGAGATTTTACCCGCGATTAAAACGATTGAATTTAACAATTTTTCAGGCCATCGATGACCGGTTGTTGGAACGGTTGCGTCACTGCAAGAGATTAACGCATTTAAGGCTATGTTTGCACAAAATGAGAGCAAATATGATGAAAGATTGTCATCTATTTTGTCCACGACTTGAATATCTATTGATTTATGCCAATGATTACGTGATAGACAGCGAGTGTTTGTCACACATCTCAAGACTACGGGCGCTGCGAACGCTTGTCATTGACGGCAGAGACTATGGCCACGACTCCGAAGACACGGAAGGCTTTGGCAAAGAATCTAATGATCCCTCGGATAATGATTTCAAAGACCTGTTGTTCAGAAGTCCTAAACTCGAGACAATTGACGTCCGCATCAAAAATGAGAAAAAGTTTTATTCAAAGTAAAACTGTAGCAAATATTTAGTGTTTTATTATTAAAATTAATTATTATTAAATTTATTAAATGTTTTTTGAAGTATGCGTTCATTTCATACATGTCTTGTATTTAATGCCTATTTGTTGCCAATTATGTAATGAAAACCAAAAATGTTATATTAATCGCAATTAAATTCATTTATATAAAACTTAAATATTTTTAAAAAATACTAAAACTTATATACAAATGAAATCAAATTATTTTATTTCAAACTTTTATACAAAAAAATCAATTGAATTCACAATTAATTGTATTAACAAAACAACCAAAAGAAAAGCCAATCAAAAAAACATGAGACAAAACAACACAACCCTTGTCTTAATAGAGGAGTTCCGGCGGTTCCAGTGGTGGCAACTCAGGCACAGTCGACACGTGACTGTTCTCGGCCTTTAAGACCATATTCTGCGCCCTGAGGTCGCGAATCTCGCGCTGACACGCGTCCAACTCTTCGGCCAATTGGAAGACTAATTGCTTTAACTTCTCGTTCACAGTCTGCAGCTCTTCGATGACAGTCTTGTCAGTCTTGGGCTTCTTTGAGCCGCTTTTATACATAGAGTCGGCCGACGAGTTGGAAGAGCTCAGTGGTTCGGCGCCTGTGACCACCGATGGCTTCACTTCGGCCTCGATGTCTGAGCGGCGCTCAATCAGTATATGCAGAAGCGAGTCGTGTTCCGACATAATGTCTCTCAACTCAGACATCACCGACGCCTTCGAGTTGGTGTCCATTGTATGGCCAGCAGTGGTGGCGGCGCTCGTCAGTCCGCTGTCGCCGCCCGGGGTTTCCCCGCCGGGTGTCAACTGTGTTGCCATTTGATGGCCAAACTTGTCGATGAGTTGCTGCCGCTGTAGTAACTCCTGCTTACGGGTCAACACCTGTTGCCGCTGACACTCGTCGCGCTGTTTGAGAACCGCTTCTTGCGATAAGTGATACGCTTTTTGTGTCTCCAGCGACGCCTTCATCAGCGCACACGTCGTGCTCAACAGCGCCTCCTGTATGTGACCTACAATTCAAACGAGACAATCACCACAATTAGTTCCCCCGATATATACAGTATAACAACAGGTATGACACGTTTCTGGAGGACACGTGGCATCAGATAATTGTCATATCAGTGGTTGGTGTGGGAGACCAACACATCCCACGGCAACGACACCCACAACAACAACAACAATAATGACAATCACTATCTGATGCCACCCATCGAGAGGTGTGGTGTCTGAGTGTTTGTCCACAACCACCCGATGGTCGTCCACCTGCTGTGCAAACACGTGTCGGCCACTCGTCTGAGCGCCCGATGACTGACCGGCGGCTTTCAGATGGTAGTCGACGGCCTCTTTGAAACGATTATCATTGAGATAGTACTCGGCTTTACGATGGCATCGATGGGCCTAATCCGGTGATCATAGGACACACAGTTAGCACACAAGACATCATGGGATCAGATTGAGTGATCATTTAATGAAATGGCGGACAAATAATTACCAGATTTAACGGCGAATCCATAGGAAAACCATTGCATTCAACGCTCATATGATTGCCAATACTGTTGTCAATACATTACGTTCACTATAAACGTTACGCTATTGATGGGGGAGGGGTGTGACGGGGGTTAATAGTACCTATTGCTGAATAACCACCATGTTCATTTGAATTGTATAATAAATTATTTAAATAATCTAGATATTAATTGCGCACAATGTGCTAGTTTATTAAATTATAATTATCTAAATAAGATTGTTTTTAATCTACTTTTTAATAGTTAAGGGTTGCAAACAAACGCCCCATTTATTAACGTAACGTTATTTGTGGTGACAATAAAAATGACAAAACAAGCGTTTGTTTATATTTTCATTGATTTCGTGAATCATATGTTATGTAATGTTTGCCTCATTTGAGTCAAACACAGCACACGTTATCACAAATACTAAAACATTTAATTAATTATAATTACAATTAATTAGTGAATTAATTATAATTAAAAGTCTGTTTATAATAACTAAACGATTTTGTGTTTAATATTAATTACAAGTGATTTAATCAATGCAATCATTAATGTCTCAAACCGTAAGCGTTTGCGACCAATGATTGCGACCATTAATGGCAGACACGGGAACCGCTGCCGGTGATCGTCACCGACTGATGGCCACACTCTTCGACCACCTGTGCATCGAATCGGACTGCGAGTGCTCTGAGGTGTCGGACCAGACGTCCTCCGCCTCCATAGACACCACTTTTGTGGACCAATTACTCGACAGCTATCGCACGACCAGCGGATACGACGCCGACAATGACAACAGCGATCAGTATCTGTCCGAAGGCACCGACACTGACGACGCCATGGAAGCGCTCGAAGACATGTTAGAGTGGAGGCGGTCATCGAGCGTTGATAGTAGTGTTGATAGTTATTGCGGATCAGGTCTTGAGATCACGGCGTTAAACGAGTACTGTTTCCGGCATTTGTTAACATTTCTACCGTTTGACACTTTGATGACATTGCGGACGGTTTGCCGGCCATTCATGGTCTCAATCGACGACCACTTTCGGTCAAAACGGCGCCTAAAACTGATCAACAGNATAGTCTGCGATATAAATGTCTATACAATCAAAGTATTTGATGTGAAATAATGTTTTGTTAAGATTTTCTAATGATTAAAATTAGCTCTCTTTAGAAGAGATGTTTTTTAGTTTTGTTTTTGTTATAATTTTGTATACATTTTTGAAAATATTATATTCAGTGATATTTTTGTTGCTATCCCTTAACTCGGCAGAACAAATTATGAGGCGGGTTTAATAAAAATTTTACTGTAAGCTAAAACAGTATGACTCGAATATAACGTACCCCAAAATGTTAACTTTATATTCAATATTATAAAAATTAATAAATTAAAAACAAAAAATACAAATTTCAATTATATTTATTGAAATTTAATGAGTTTTAGATTTAAAAATTTAAATGTACTAATTTTAATACGTGCGTTATTTTTTAAATTTTACATTGGAACATAATTCCATTTAAATGTACACAAGGGGTGCACTTATATCCGGATATAAGTGCGGTAGTTTTGGTGACATGCAAAATTCACTTACAGTCAAACATCTATGTTATCAACAAACGGTTTGTGTATGGGTTGACAGGACAGAAGTTGTTATACATAAAAATGCTAAAAATTCTAATCAAATATGTTGATATGATAGATTAGTTGACAACATAGAAGTTGACAGCATAGAGATTATTTTAACCGTATGTCTATGTTATGTGTATTTGGGTTTTGGAATTTTGTTAATAACAGAGATGTTGACAGCACAGAAGTTTGACTGTATAAGCAAAACACACATTAAATATCTTTAATAATAATCGCCTGTTCTTTCATACAATATAATGCTATACTCAATACAATGGACTTTATTTACTGGAAAACTGCTTGGTTTGTAAATTAGAAGGTCAACAAATGAGCTGGGTTGATTTTTCAAATATGCCAATCNGACTTTATTTACTGGAAAACTGCTTGGTTTGTAAATTAGAAGGTCAACAAATGAGCTGGGTTGATTTTTCAAATATGCCAATCATATTTGAATCATGTTCATTCTGAATCTCTATTTGCTTGTGCCTCAGGCACTTAAAAACTTTTTATGGGCTATACATTGAAAATATTAAATGTTATAAATTAAGCCTGTCCAGTCTTTTTTAGTATATCACAAGTACAGTTTCACAGTGTGCCATAAAAAGGTGGCGCAACGGTCAGTAAAAAAAGGTTTGTAAGTATTACACAAGAAACACCACGTGAAGGTCAACCTAATAGTTTCTCACCTATTTTTATACATGGTTGACTTTCAGTCTATCCACAAAACGTCATTTAAAACAAAATTTAATTATTAAATCACATTTTAATTAGATTTGTGATATTGTTTGCGATAATCAACAAGTTTAATAATATTTTACTCAATCATATTTGATGACCATATTTTCAAACGTGATCTTAAGGTTTTTGCGCAAATACTACCAGTTTTGTCATTTTTAATTGATTTCATTAGAGAAAAAAATTGTTCACAATTAAAAGTAGATCCAAAACATGTTAGAATTGTTAATGCATTATTTATTAATAATCGGAGTTCACATATAACGTTAAGCTGAAAATGTATTGCATTAATAACGTCAAACATAATTTTAATCCAAACTTTCAAACATAATTTTAATGTTGTTTATGACAATTGGCTTTTCTACTTCAAGTTCCCAAAAGGTACTTGACTGAACAGAAGGATTATAAATGATACATGTTATTTTTAGTTTTTAAAAATGAGATTATACAGACTAATTGATAGATAATAATTTATTAATTTTATTTATGCATATTTATCAGGTTAAAAAAGTTTTAATTTAATAAATTTTATAATTGTTTAAAATATTAACAGGTCTATCAGTGATAAATAATTTGTATATATAGTTGATTATATAACTAATTATATTTATTAATCCAATAATGTATTACTCTCATTAATGAATCTTTCTTATTCTAAACGTGTAGTTTATTAAATCTTTAGAATTATTAATTAAATCTCTCTCTCTCTCTCTCTCTCTCTCTCTCTACGGAATACTATATGACTTAAATTATAATCATTGAATTTAACATGTTGTAAACAATCA